CGTTGGCTTGCCTAGCAAGTGAAATGTTAGGCGCCATCACGGTCCCGAAGGTGGGAATTTCGGGTCATGACAATGGCTATTGTGGAGACGAGTGGAGTTGCTTTTACTACGTTCCAACTTAAGGGAGCGGCATATCGGTGGTGGCAGGCGTATGAGTTAGGTAGCCCAGCCGATGCAACTTCACTTTCATGGGCTCATTTTTCGAAGATGTTCCTCAGAGAGTTTGTTCCTCAGTCCCTTCGGGGCGCATGGCACGCGGACTTTGAGCAGCTGCGCCAGGGAACTATGTCAGTGTCAGAGTATGCTGTTAGATTCTGTGATTTGGCCAGACATGCACCTGCTTTGGTCGCTACAGTTAGAGAGCGAGTCTGTAGATTCGTTGAGGGGCTATGATGTGATATCTAGTTTAGCGTGGCTCGAGAGTTGGAGTCAAATGTTCCATTTCAGCAGGTGGTGGGGATCGCCCGCCGATTAGAGGGCATGTGGGACCAAGAGAGAGATGATAGGCAGAGACAGGAGAGTGAGGATAGGCGGGGTCAAGAAATAGAGGATAGGGAGGCTAAGAGGTCTCGTAGACCAGATATCTACTGATCCATGTTTTGGAGGCAGGGTATGGCATGGTATGGGTTTTGTGGGTCAGCCAGTTCAGTTTGCACTTTAGGCTTCGCACGGTGCCTCAGGTGCCCATTAGTCTCAGAGTACCCGTACCGCACAGTTTCCATAGCCACGCCAGCAGAGAGGTTGCTTTGAGTGTGGAGATACCAGCCACATGATGAGAGATTGTCCCAGACTCCAGAAATATGTGTCACAGTGGGGTATTCAGGCGAGTAGAGGGAGCTAAAGAGGGGGAGGCCCGGACCGTTGATATAATTTCTATGAATTGGCTGAGGCCGCTACAACAAATGGTGTCGTTAAAGGTACGATCTTTTTCCCCCTTTTTCTTATCGGTCCAATATTTGTTCTCGAAGGTCTTCGTTTCCGCCAATTTGTTATAAAAGGATAATTCTCCTTAATTTGATTTGGTTTTGGATATCGAGGTGAATCCTTCTATTGTGCTCCACTTATGGGTGAGCTTCGTAATTTTGTGACCCACGTATATATTTATCCCTGGGGAAAGATTTGATGATGTTAGCCTGTGTCTATCATTTTTATTTTATACACCATTGAAGGCTATAAGTCCAAAGGTGACTTTCTATTACTCATTACAGTTGGTTTTGATGTGATTTCGGAATAATTGATTTCAATGTTTTTGAATTATATGCCCTATGGGAATAAGGTTCATTATGTGTTGTGAAAATGTTTACGAAATTTATTGAAAATAAGAAAGAAAGGAAATTGAAAATTTCAGTTGGCACAATGTGCAAAATACTTGTGATTCGAAGTTTTATTTTTTAGCAAATAGACTACTAGGGTATTCACCTAGTAGCTTTTATCACGCCTCTCCTTCCTCTCTCTCCTATTTCTTATTTCCCTCTTCCCCACTCCCATACTTACTAGAGCAACAACATTGCCGGTGACTGTTGTTTTGCCGGGCAGCAACATCAACCCTTTCCCCTCTTGCTTTTCTTCTCCATTTTTAATTCTTAGTTGCGGGTAATCTCTCGCCCCTTTCTATGCTCCTTTCTTCTTCGTTACCTTTTCTTTGCACTTTTTTGTTACGGTTGGGACTTCACCCGTGGTAGCGGTGGCAGCCCATCCCCCTTTGTTTGGCTTCGTGGTGTTTTGTGTGTATTTCAGGTTAGGCTTAGTATCTTTGGCGGCGAGCGGGACGTGCGTGTGCAAACAGTAAAGAACAGTCTGGGCGACTGTCAACAAGGGGCGACGCGGAAGTTGGACGTGAACGTGCAAGGTGGCCGCAATACCGCCGTGTATACCAAGACAATTCCCATGTTCTAATTTTGGGAGTTGGTACCTCCCGTTTTGCTGTTTCCCTTCGTTGTGTTAGTTAAATTGCTGCCATCTTAGTTCGTACTACCTCCGTTCCAGTTTATGTGAACCTATTTTCTTTTTGGTCCGTTCCAAAAAGAATGACCCCTTTCTAAATTTGGAAATAATTTTGCTTAAACTTACAATTTTACCCTTAATGAAAAGCTTTTATAACCACACAAATACTCTGGGTCCCTTTTTGAATTGTTTAGGACCACAAATTCCAAAAGTCTTCATTTTTTCTTAAACTTCGTTCCCAGACAAACAGGTTCACATAAATTGGAACGGAGGAGTATTAGTTTAATCACCATATTAGCGTGCCTGTAGTTATATTATATCCTCATTTACTCGGGTCTGTCTCCTAGTATGTGTTAGTGATTTCCTTTAGTCTGTCATATGTATAGTGGTTGTGGTCTGGGATGGCCCTGTGAGGTCATATCCTTGGGGGGAGCGGGGGTGGGGCGGGAGGNTTCGGTGACTGCTGTTTTGCCGGGCAGCAACATCAACCCTTTCCCCTCTTGCTTTTCTTTACCATTTTTAATTCTTAGTTGGGGGTAATCCCTCGCCCTTTCTATGCTCCTTTCTTCTTCGTTACCTTTTCTTTGCGCTTTTTTGTTACGATTGGGACTTCACTCGTGGTAGCGGTGACAGCCCATCCCCCTTTGTTTGGCTTCGTGGTGTTTTGTGTGTATTTCAGGTTAAGCTCAGTGTCTTTTGGCAGCGAGCGGGACGTGCGTGTGCAAACAGTGAAGAACAGTCTGGGCGACTGTCAACAAGGGGCGACGCGGGAGTTGGACGTGAACGTGCAAGGTGGCCGCAATATTGCCGTGTATACCAAGACAATTCCCATGTTCTAATTTCGGGAGTTGGTACCTCCTGTTTTGCTGTTTCCCTTCGTTGTGTTAGTTAAATTGCTGTCATCTTAGTTCGTACTACTTCCGTTCCAGTTTATGTGAACCTATTTTCTTTTTGGTTTGTTCCAAAAAGAATGACCCCTTTCTAAATTTGGAAATAATTTTGCTTAAACTTACAATTCTACCCTTAATGAAAAGCTTTTAGGACCACAAATTCCAAAAGTCTTCATTTTTTCTTAAACTTCGTGCCCAGACAAACAGGTTCACATAAATTGGAACGGAGGGAGTATTAGTTTAATCACCATATTAGCGTGCCTGTAGTTATAATATATCCTCATTTACTCTGGTCTGTCTCCTAGTGTGTGTTAGTGATTTCCTTTAGTCTGTCATATATATAGTGGTTGTGGTCTGGGATGGCCCTGTGAGTTCATGTCCTTGTGGCAAGCGGGGGTGGGGCGGGAGGTGGAGCAGGGGTTAGGGGGTGGGAAGGCAGGCAAGGGAGGTAAGGGGAACAAAGGTGCCTATAGGTTGAGAATTGGATCATGGAACATAGGTACACTGACGGGTAAGTCTATAGAGTTAGCAAAGATCCTCCGAAAGAGGAGGGTCAATGTAGCGTGTGTCCAGAAAACTAGGTGGGTAGGGTCTAGAGCGGGGGATGCGAACGGGTATAAGCTTTGGTACTCCAGAGTCCGAAAGGGTAAGTATGGAGTGGGTATCTTGGTGGATGGGGAACTTAGAGAGTCGGTGTTTGAGGTTAGACGGGTGAATGATAGATTGATAACTATTAAGTTGGTGGTTGGAGAGTGCACCCTAAACATCGTTAGCGCCTACGCCCCATATGCAGGACTAGATGAGGAGGTTAAACGACGATTATGGGAGGGGTTAGATGAGATTGTGCGTCAAGTACTGCCTACTGAGAAGCTATTTATAGGAGGGGATTTCAATGGTCATATTGGTTCGACCGCAAGCGGCTATGGCGAGGTGCATGGAGGCTGCAGTTTTGGGGAGCGGAACGGAGGAGGTACTTTGCTGTTGGACTTCGCTAAGGCTTTTGGGTTGGTGATTGCGAGCTCTAGCTTTCCGAAGAGGGATGAGCATTTGGTTACTTTTAAAAACACTGTGTCGATGACTCAGATTGACTATATCCTCCTTAGGAGGTGTGATAGAGGGTTGTGTAAGAATTGTAAGGTTATTCTGGGTGAGATACTCACGATTCAGCATAGGCTCTTGGTGATAGATGTTGGTATTATGTTAAAGAGAAGGAAGAGGTTTGACCTCAGACGACCGAGAATCAGGTGGGATGCCTTGACTAAGGATAAAGCCCAGGAGTTGGAGGGGCAGTTGTCGGCTTTGGGAGCCTAGAGGAAGAGTGGTGACACAGGAATTATGTGGTCAACGACAGCAAACTGTTTAAGGGAGGATGCAAGAGAAGTGTTAGGGACCTTGACGGGCGTCTCTGGCAGGCACAAAGGAGACTGGTGGTGAAAATAAAGTGGTCCAAGGTAAAGTGGAAGCAAAGAAGACAGCATACCTAAAATTAGTAGGGAGCACAAGTGAGGAGGAGAGGAGGGCATGGATGGAGTGGTATAAGGTAGCTAGGAAGGAAGCAAAGCTGGCGGTCACGGAGGCTAAAAATGCAGCCTATGGCCGTATATACGAGGAACTGGGGGAAAAGGTGGAGAGAAGAATTTATTCCGGCTGGCGAAGATGAGAGAGAGGAAGGCCCGAGATTTGGACCAAGTGAGATCCATTAAGGACAACGATGGTAGAGTATTGATGGAAGATGCTCAGATTAAGAGGAGATGACAGACTTACTTTCATGAACTTCTGAATGAAAAAGGGGATTGAGATATTGTGCTAAGTGAACTGGGTCATTCCGAGAGTCACCGTGACTTTGGGGACTGCAGGCGCATCGAGGTTGAGGAGGTCTTGGGAGTTATGCGTAAGATGAGTATGGGTAGAGCGATCAGGCCAGATGAAATTCCAATTGAATTTTGGAAGTGTGTGGGTAGAGCAAGCTTGGAGTGGCTGACTAGACTATTTAATGTTATTTTTAAGATGAAAAGGATGTCGGAAGAGTGTAGGTGGACTATGTTGGTATCGTTGTATAAGAACAAAGGTGATATCTAGAGTTGTAACAATTATAGGGATATCAAACTACTGAGTCATACCATGAAAGTTTGGGAGAGGGTGGTTGAAGCGAGGGTGAGGAGGACAATGTCTATATCCAACAACCGGTTCAGGTTCATGCCAGGTCGTTCTACTACAGAAGCTATACACCTTATTAGGAGGTTGGTGGAATGGTACAGGGAGAGGAAGAATGATCTGCACATGGTGTTTATTGATTTACAGAAAACGTACGACAAGGTTCCTAGAGAAGTTCTCAGGAGATGCTTAGAGGAAAAAGGCGTGTCGGCTGCCTACATTTGGGCAATTAAGGACATGTATGATGGGGCTAAGACTTGGGTTAGGACTATAGGAGGAAACTCTGAGCAGTTTCTAGTTTTTATGGGGTTACACCAAGGTTCTGTACTCAGCCCGTTCTTATTTTCCCTGGTGATGGACGTATTAACACACCATATTAAATGGGAGGTGTCGTGGTGTATGTTATTCGCTGATGACATAGTTCTGATTGATGAGTCGCGAACCAGTGTTAATGAGAGGTTGGAGGTATGGAGACAGGCCCTTGAGTCTAAGGGTTTCGAGCTGAGCAGGACGAAGACGGAATACCTGGAGTGTAAGTTCAGCACTAAGCCAAGGGAAGTGGGCGTGGAAGTGAGGCTTGAATCACAGGTCATACCAAGTAGTGAAAAATTTAATTACCTTGGGTCTGTTATCCATAGGGAAGGGGAGATTGACGAGGATGTCACACACCGTATTGGGGTAGGGTGGATGAAGTGGAGGTTAGCATCTGGAGTCTTGTGTGATAAGAGAGTGCCACCGATACTCAAAGTTAGGTTTTACAAAGTGGTAGTGAGACCGTCCATGATGTATGGAGTTGAGTGTTGGCCTGTTAAGAACTCACATATCCGGAAGATGAAAGTAGCAGAAATGAGGATGTTGAGGTGGATGTGCGGACACACTAGGATGGATAAGATTAGGAATGAAGATATTCGGGAAAAGGTGGGCGTGGCTCCCATTGATGACAAAATACGGGAAGCGTGACTCAGATGGTTCGGACACGTACAAAGGAGAAGCCCAGATGCCCCGGTAAGGAGGTGTGAGCGTTTGGATTTGGAGGGCACGAGAAGAGATAGAGGACGACCTAAGAAGTATTGGGGTGAGGTGATCAGGCAGGACATGGCGAGGCTTCAAATTTCTGAGGACATGGCTCTTGATAGGAAGTTGTGTAGGTCGGGTATTAGAGTTGTAGGTTAGGAGGTACATAGTGGAGTCTCCCTTACTTCATACCTTAGTGAGGCTAGTCTGGTAGGGTTTTTGTCGATATCAACTAGTGGCAAGGTTGTGTCTTACTACTCTTTTGTTTTCCAGAGTGTCGGGTCTATGTATTGTCTATCGCGTTTCCTTTGCATCTACTTTCTCATTTCCATGATGTTATTTTTCCTATGGTTTCTATTGGTGATACTGATATTGTCTCTTTTTGTCTTCATGAGCCGGGGGTCTTTCGGAAGTAGCCTCTTTACTCCCTCGGGGTAGGGGTAAGGTCTGCGTACACATTACCCTCCCGAGACGCCACTAGTGGGATTTCNCCCACTAGTGTGATTTCACTGGGTCGTTGTTGTTGTAATATGTCCCAAACCGGGTCAAAGTTACACAATGTTCAAGTGCAACAAAAACAAAATACAAATAGAAAGTCAATGTCTATTGCTACCAAATATAATGTAGCAGTAGCTTGTAAAAAAAATAGAAAATGTACAAAGCTAGTAATTTGAAACATCCAATTGTTGGTGATGATAATGAATTTACACACCAATTGCAACCAATGTGTTGTAGCACCTACAAAGCTCTTACCAGGCGCCATCTGTTGCAATCCAAGAGGAATAGATATGTATAATTCACAAGTTGTCGAGTAATTCAATTTGGACATTTTGATTTTTGGTCTAAAGAGTTCTAGCAGTAGAATCTTCAAAAGTTGATTTGCCAACATAGTGCATCGCGTAAACCTATTTTAAAACAAGTGTTTTGTTGGAAGATCCCAGTTGAGCATCAGAAGAATAGATCTCTGAAGTGACTTGTAGTTTTGTTTTGATCCCAGTCGAGAAGCATTAATAGAAGACATCCGCAGTTGCATCAGATAGTTACAGCAAGACAGCATTTATCGGCATCAGGAATAATAGTAGCAGTCCTAGCATCATCAACAGTAGCATTTGAATCATTCCATTTGGTGTTGAAGCAACCACAGGTTGAGCATTAATTAACGCTAATACCACTATGTGTTTTAACAACTCCAAACAGAAAGAGTACAACCAAAATCTTTTTGTTTTAGTAGCAGCTTTCAAGATTCATGACAAGTGCAGTTTAGCAGTAGCATTATGCATCAGTCAGATAGTTGCTAGTCGAGCATCTGACTTTTATCACAGCAGTAGCAGTAGAAGAACTTAGTTGAGCATAAGATAGCATCATCAGTAGCACTTGAAAAGATGTGTTGGTAGTTGGTCATCGAGCATGTAGACATTGTCACAGCAACAGCATCCTAAGAAACTCAGTTGAGAAAATAACAATTTGAAAAGCCTCACAATCAAACAATAGCTCCATTTTAGCTTGATATCTCTGTTGAAATGTGCAAACTTATCTCCATAACCTACACAGTGTAGCAAACATGTTAGGAGGAAAGAGTTTTACTTCCAGCTCATTGTGTGTTTTAGAATCATTGAAGAATATTGGGTTTGGATAGTTGTAGTTTCCAGTTGTAGTATAATGGTTCACAGCAGCATCAGCACAACCAATGGAAATGGCATGATAGTTGCAACATCAGTATTTGCAGCATAATAGAAGCAGAAGCAAAAACATAATAGCTCATTGTGTGATTCGGAGTTGAGGACATGATCCTCGCATTTTTTTTATATATGATGTGAAATATTTAAACTGGGCTACAAGCCGCGGTGGAAGTTATATAAGGATGAGGTCCTTGTGGTGAAATAAATATGAGTTTAAATTCCCCCCTTTGTGAAATTTAATTTGTATTATGGTACTTACGGAGTCATTCCTGATAGGCTTATGTGATGATTCTTTTATGTGTTTATGTGCCATAATTGTGCTGTAATTATTGAGTTTTAACCTACGAGGTGAGTGCTCAGGTGGCATTAAATGTGACTCGTTAATCCGAGTAAATAACTATGAGGTTTTCATGCCTCGCGTGTTGCCGTCAGTGTTATGAAAATTAGATATGAGATTTTGGTTATGATGAGATTAATTGAGGATGCTGAAATTAATTATAAACAACTATTATGACCAGAGATGTGGTTATGGACATACGTATGATATGTGCGTAGGCACGAATTGCTACAGCCGGTTGAGACTAATATCGTGTGTTGATGTAAGGAATTTGAAATTGATTGGAGTGTAAGGAATTGACTTTAAAGCTTATAAGTGTGAATAAAGGAAATAATATCCACTGAGATGATGGTGTCGGAACCCTGTTAAATTTACGGTGACGTAGAATCACCCGTGAGTATGTATGAAATAATGCACTCAGTAATTTAATGTCATCAGAATAATTCTTGGCACGTTCGAGGACGAACATATGTTTCAGAGGGGAAGAATGTAACACGACTTGTCATTTTAAGAATTTATGCCCCGTTCAGCAACTAAAGCTCTCGAACAGCTTCGTAATATATATTATGACCCGCAGGTGTAGTCGAGTATGGTTTTCGGAAGATTCAGAATTAAATTCAAAGAACAGTTCTTTTTTTTAAGCTTAAATGAAAAGAGTTGGCCGGAGTTTGACTTTTGAGAAACGACTCCAAAATGGAATTTTAACGATGTCAATAGCTTCGTATGGTGATTTCAGACTTAGGAGTATGTCCGTATTTGGATTTGGAAGTTCGTAGGTCAATTCAACGCATTTTGGTGAAAGTTGGAAATTGAAGATTTTTGGAAAGTTTGAGCGAAGGGTGAATTTTTTATAACGAGTTCGAATTTTAATTCCGGAAATTGGAACAGTTCCATTACATCATTTATGACTCGCGTGAAAAATGTGAATTCATTCTGCGTTGATTTGAAACATTTAGGCACAAAATATAAAAGTTGGACTCATAATTCGATTAGATGCATGATTCGTAATTTCGGCATTGTTTGACGTGGTTTGAAGTCTCGACTAAGTTCGTATTGTATTTTGGGACATGTTTCTATATTTAGTTAAGGTCCCAAGGGCCTCGGGTAGGTTTCGGATGGTTAACGGATCAAATTTGTTAGTGCCTGTTGATGCAATCGCACCTTCAAAAATTGGCTCGCAGGTGCGAGCTTGCAGAAGCGAACTTGGCATCGCAGATGCGAGAGGCCCGCAAAAGCGGTACACGCATCGCAGAAGCAAAAATGGTGAGGAAGTCGGGCATCGCAGGTGCGGAATTTTATCCGTATATGTAGAGTCACATCTGCTCTTGGATCATTGCAAAACAGAAGGTAGTCTCATGGGCAACCACAGAGGCGGAGTTTTGGGCCGCACCTGCGAGACCGCAGATGCGGTTAAGTGAATCACAGGTGCGAAAAAGACCTGGACAGAATAAATTCGCACGATCCGAGATTCTCTCATTTTGGACATTTTCAATACGGTTTTGGGTGATTTTTCAGAGAGAATTCACGGAAAAACTTGAGGTAAGTCACTTGTTATCATTGTTGGTCAATAATATTGGATTATCATTGAGTATTTCGACTACATTACATGTTTTTGAGGTGAAATTATAGGATTTGGGCCTAGGGATTTTTAAAAAAGAATTTGATATTTGGAGGTCGAGTTGATGTTGGAATTAAGTAATTTTGGTATGGTTTGACTCGTGGTTGAATGGGCGTTCATATTTTGTAACGTTTGTCTGGTTCCAAGACATGGGCCTCATGGCTAATTTTTGAGTTAAATTTCGGATTTTGTTGGAAAATTAGTATTTTCATATGGAATTAATTCCAATAATTTGTATTGAGTAAATCGAATTAGTGGTGACTAGATACGAGGATTTCGGAGGCCAATTTGTATTGCAAAGGCACAACGGAGTAAATAATTTCCCGATTCGAGGTAAGTATCTTGCCTAACCTTGAGTGGGGGAAATACCCCTTAGGCATTGAGTCTTATGGGAAAATTGTGTAATTGAAAATCAGGTACGCGGGGTGATGAGTACGTACTTGGTTTATATGTGCAAATTACATTGGTTAAATTTCTTAGATGCTCTTATGCATTAAATTGGAAATTATTGGCACTTATTAAGTCCTCTATTTGTCATGCCTAGATCCTTGTTTGTTGAAATTATTTTTATATGATAATTTGGTGTGATTCCCACCTTGATTTTATGTGAAATATTATTTTGTTGAGTTGTTCACTCCCGGATATTTTTGTTAAAATTTTGTGCACATTATGGTCGAGGCATGAGCTCCTTATTGTGGAAAATAATATATTGTTGATTTCTATAAAAAGTTGTGATATTTGAGCACTTGATGTGCAATCTGTGATATGTTGTAATATTTAAGTAATTGAGGTGCAATTTATGAGATGTTGTGATATTGGCACGTGATATTTTGTTGGGAGGTTTGTTCGGGTGTTTGCACGAGGTTTCAGCCGTGCTATTGTTACTATTGATTTATGCACATGCGGCGTGATATATATATATATATATATATATATGGGGGGGTTGTGCATGTGGCGAGATAAGGTAGAAATATTATTATGCACGTGCGGTGAGACAGGGCGAGCATTTACAATATTATTGCGCAAGTGGCGAAATAAGGTGGGCTATGTCGGGAATTGAATTGTGATGACTTGTGAGGGACTGGGAGAATTGTTGTTGTTGATATTTATGATTTGGGACTACGAGGCGGTACCTCAGGAGATCCCCTGTTGAGAATTTACTTTTGGGACTACGAGACGGTATCTCGGGAGTGCCCTTTGTTGACATCTCTCTATGGTTGCACTTGTCTTTGGTTATTTTGTATTTTCATGATAGTTAAATCCTTGTAATCTTCCATGATGTATTATTTAATTTTACTATGTGTTTGTATTCCTTGTTATATTGTGTTGGCTTGGGTTTTTTAGTACGAGACTCTGAAGATTTATATTCCCAGATGTTTTACCGATTTTCGATGACTGAGTTATTTTAAATAAAAGAAGTTACTATTAGTTTTTAAATTAATAAGTTTTACATCCAAATAAGTAGATTATCTGATGTTTGAGTTAAATTGAAATGTCATTTTTCTTCACTCAAACTATTTCTAAAATAAACTCATTTCTTTGTTGAATTCTTATTTGGTTTTTTT